CTAGCCGCAGCCGTCGTGGTTTTCGCCTTCTTGGTGCGCCTTCTAACGACCTTTGACCATTCTTCAGCTTCCGTCTCCATGCCGGTGTCAGCCTCGGTGTCAGGGGGGAGCTGTATGGCGGTGGGCTTAGAAGGGCGCTTCTGCCGGCTAGCAGCGGCCGTTCTTGACGCCAGACTGTCCCAGTGAGCTGGCGTGAGCTCCATATCCGTGGAGGCGTCGGACATGAACTTTCCAGTGTTGGCGAATCTGGGCAGATCCGTGATGTCACCGTTCTTCTCCAGCAGCGAGTCTACTGCCGTGTAGGCGTCGCTGGTGCGGCTCAAGAGTTTCTCCAGGTATGACTGCGTCTCCGCATCCGAGGTTCTCTCCATGAGCTTCCTCGTGTCGGAGGCTACTGCCTTCATGGTCGACCTCGCCTTGTTCAGCTTCTCCCTTAGGTTGAGGCTCCAGTCGTTGCTGCTGGGGGGCTCTGTTGCTTCGGAGCTGACGTTTCGGTTGTCCACCACCTTAATTTTCTTTACTATCGGCTGACTCAAAGCGTCACTGACCAGATCGAACGCTCCGGCAGGGCTCGTTGTTGGACGGCCTGTCTTCGATGCCAAGATCTGGACAGCCTGTTCCACTTCCATGTGGGAGGAGGGGTCTCCCATGGTGTCACCGGGGGCCGGGCCCCGAGCGCCTAGAGGGGTAGACGACTTCTCTTCTATTTTGGGCTGGAGGCCCGGAATCGCGGTTCCAGGTGCCCTATCTCCGCCCCTGGGGGGGTAGGGGTCCGGGTTTGCGGGGTCGGGTCCGGTGTCCCCAGAAATGCTTGGGGAACGTTAGGGGGGCAGAATTTTGCTCCCGAAGCTCTCCGAACACTTCCGGCCGAGATATCCGCGAAAAACCGTTTTCGGGCCTTTTCGGCCGTTCGCAAGACGTGTGCAAGACGACTTGGACGGCAGATTGAGGGATTGCTGGACGGTGCTCGCGCGGACGACGTTGCTTCTACGACGACCGACGCGCTACCATAGGATTAGGACTTAGAAGGTATTATGTAGCAATATTTTTTTATTAATCATCCTTCAGCGTGTCAGTATGCGTAGGCACATATAAACATTTTTTCATGTCATAATATATACATAAATATAAATATATGGTTCCCCCCTCGCCACTCACCTATCCACATACCTATCCTATTGTACCACCTCCGGACCGATGGATCGGAATGATTCCAGCGCGGGGCACCTTATTGCGGCCTTTTTCGACAGGGGCGACGACGATAATATATGTGTATGGATATAGACATACTCATATATATTATTATAGTATGTAGTAGTACCTATTTAAAAAATAAAGCATACTCATAAAACCGAATTCACTAGTCTTCAGAGTACCAGGAGTCGTCCATTTGCCACCCACCGCGTTCCCTCCACATGCCCGCCAGATAACAATATTTCGGCAACATTCCCCACGCTGCGCGTTTCTCTTTTGTTCGACAACTGCGACAATGATGAAAACCGTATACCCCCTGACCTATCTTTGCAGAGTTTTCACCCTCTACTTGGGAACGAGGGTGGCCAGATATTGTACCTATATTATATTGTAGAATAATACACGTATTATAGCGACATACTTATTGATATTATCTACATTATTTAGCGAACGTAAAATTTAACTTCCAAAATACTATCTGATACTTTACGATGTGTGTAAACGGAGAGTTTCATAAATTATTTCCAAAATAAATACTGCTTTCTGATAATATTATGTTTTTTGCTTGGTTTCTATAGGGCTAAGAGGGTAATCGTGAGTATTTTTTTTTGCAAATGATTTAGATATGCCTATTATTATACTGGACAGATATCGGATGGTTGATTAAAATAGTGTACAACAAGCTAAATTAGGCAATAGCAACATTTATTTTGTAAAATGTAGTCAAAACTGGAAAATAATTACTATTGTACAATGGTATTATCAATGACTAATGAGTATAATGACACTATTTACAAATTGTTTCTCTCAGATACCACTAGCATAATATCATGAGTAAGCTTGCAAACACATGCAGTGTAGGACGAAAAATATTCTCGTCCGAGCTGTTCTGATATGAAGGCATTATAGATATTAGATTTTTAAATGATATTATAATCTAATATCATTACCTATGGTTTCGACAAAGGCAACTCAGTACTACAGTATTAATCAAAGTTTGATCGATGACGCGGCGGTGCGAACAGCAAAGTTGGATTTTGTTCGTTTTTCATTACGACGCGACCCAAGGCTAATAGATTTTAGTCTATTATCTATGAACTTAGGATGCCACCATTGTCTGTATCTAAGCGGCACATGAGGTTTATTATATACTTGGCCAGCATACGATTCCGCACATTTTCGTAATCAAAAAGATTTTTTTATTTAACCTAAATTGAACACGATTCCGCATAAAAATTGTTACCAGTTAAGGAGAAAAAAAAATAATATCAAATATAATAAATAATTAAAAACAAAGTTTGTATATCGAAAAATGTATTACAATTGTTCAAAAATATTTCAACCATTAACAACAGCTAGTTCTTTATTTCTCTCTGACCCAATAATACGAATTTTGGAATTATTCATTTCAAATTATAAACTCACACAAAGTCGACAGTAAAACACAATAGTATGTTTGCAATATACGTAGGAACGGGTATCGAACAGGTTAATGATGAGTTCAAATAAAATATATGTTGTACACTTCAGATAAACCAAAATTATGGTGTAACATGATATGAATAATTAATATCAACCATTTTCATGTCTAAAATAATTTTTTAATACAATCGAAAACTTCGTAAATTAGTTTTGTGCGGAATCGTGTGAATGAAAAGGTTTATGCGAAATTGTGAATCCCCCTATATATTTTATACCATGTTTGGAGTTTGGACACGGTGTCTTTCCTTAGGGCTCATGTAAATTCAGCCCAAAAATGGTAAATTCCACCCAAATTATGACTTATACTATTAATTCAAGATCTTCAATAATTCCAATTTATTATTTCTTAGCTCACATCACGATCATCTAAGTGGAAAAATAACTAAAAAACACACTATCCCATTGCTTCTCAACCTTTTTTTACAACGACACACTAATATGGAGCTATAAAAATGGTGACACGCTCACAACAATATTAATGTTTTTTCGAAAATGTATACCAATAATTATAAAACTATATGTAAATTGAGAATGAGACTGTCTTCACAAATTTTTTTCTTATCTGTGGTGTTTGCCATCACTTTATAATCCCATTAGAATTTCATATTTTTATATTTTGAACATGTATACCTAATATTATAATTTATAAACAAACAATTTTTCGGAGACACACATCATGGTGATACACATCACACCGGTTAAGAATATGACCGTATATGCTTTATTTTATGACAGTACCATTTGTGATGAGGCGAGCGTACATTGAGTATAATATTATAGGGCACCAGTAAAAACATTAAAACTGTGTTCATAGTTCGTATTTTGTACATCATACTCCATGCGTGCAGTCCATTCGACCACATTCCAAATCAGTTTCGATCAAGGATAGCTCAGCAACCTCGTGTGCTCGAGATACCTTTGTTAAAATCTTTCTCAGCACTATGGTGGCGGAAATCGTTGCCGAGATCTGACAACAACGCACGGTCCCTTGACACTATAACAATATGATTTTCGGAACTCCTCAATGATCATAGGCCAGCTAGATGAGGTCGCATTGCCACCGTGGTATAGCTAGAAATATATACGATCACATAGGAGCTTGGGTACTAATTCGAGGCAGGGACCTCCAGGGCCGTGAGAGCGACGGCGCTTATCGCAATGGACAAGGAGGGTAGAGGGATAGGCTTATATAGTAGAGCCCCAAACAGCTCATTTTCAGACGTGATCTTTCTGAGTTAGTACGAGCACCTCCACACCAATCATTGTTTTAATTTAATTATTTGGAATTAGAATATTTTTGATCGGTAATATTTTGGACATTTTTTTATTTATGTTATATGTAATTATGTTATTATTATAATTATTAATGTAATTTATTATTGTAATTATTATTATAATTATGTTAATTATGAGATGATTCACTAGTCACTAATGCAACGGTATATTTAAACATACGTTCTCTTTGTATTTCAGTAGGTACTTAAAATAACTCAAAATAGTACATTAATGCACGGACTGAATTTTATAATTTATTAATTTCCTTAACTGTTGTATTATATTGTCTGTATTACCTATATAGTTTAACGAATTCAGTTTTGCTAGTACTGCTCTATATACCTACATTGGTGCATTGTAAAGAATGTTATTCTTACCATTAGAAAATATGTACAGTGAAAACTGTGTAATGTGGAACCTCGATAAAGTGGAAAACTGGTCTATTACTACCCAATATGGAACTTTTCTATATTCCCGGCCAGGGCCATATTTACCATTAGGCAGGATAGGCAATTGCCTATGGCCTCCGTTATTAGGGGGCCTCGGATTTTTATGAACTTAATATTTTTTTTCTAGAATAATACTTTCAGTGTATAAAATAAGCATAAGAAAAATAAATATAATATTTCAAAAAAATATAATAATTAATCCTTATCAGCGTAAAATGCAAAGAAAATAAATAAAAGTCTATTTTTGTTCATACTGGAAACACCATACGTAATCATCGGCCACCAGTCAACAGATTTATAACGCAAAATAATATATTAATAAGTTATTATTAATAACTTAATAATAATAAATTAACAGTTAACACCCATGACTCATCATACGATTATGAGAACGGTCACTCGTGAGTTGACTCGTCAGTTCTCTGTAGATTATTTACATTTACCAAAGTTATTCGTTTGTTGTAAACATTGTTTCTTATAAAATTTATATTTATTTATATTTTATTGTTAGTGTTTATTTAACGGCATATACGCATAGTTTATTATACGTTTTTGGTAGTTGAGATTTTGTCTACATTGTATTTAATTAAATTGTTTTAAATGTCGTCGAGAAAGTTTGAAAGCGGTGCTTCTAAAAAAAGAAGAAAAGAGTCACAAAACAAAGAATTAAAAAAATATAGAGGGTTAATGAACGAATTTGTGATCAATTCAGGTAAATTGTGTGGCAATTAAATGTAATAATTTTGTTTTGTTTATTATTAGTAAAAAATAATGTTTAATACTTCAGGTGTACAACAGAAACAAGAAAGTGTAGTATCACATAATTTGAATGAAGATTTTGGAGATTTTAGAAATTCAAATACCACTAGTCTAACAACTGAACAAACTCAACAAGGTAATACATTTCACTTTTTTTGTTTTAAATTATAGATAAAAATAATGAAGGGTAAAAAAATTAAAAACTATTACTTTAGGTATATTGTAAATAAATAAAACTAAGTATTAATTATAAAATAGAGTTAGATAGAATTAGAACCTAATGAATGGAAAAACTAAAAATTGTAGATATCAATTTGATATGTTCAATTTACAGATAAACTAATCAAATAAAATACAAAATAATTCTAAATGACCATGATCATACAAATAACTATCACAGTTATATTTATATTTTTTTGACAATGATTAATTTCAAATGTTATGTATAGTAATTATTTTAAATATAGGTACTTAATAATTATTATAATTTATAATTTTATAATATTTTAGGTGTAGAACAAAATCTCTCATGTACAACAGATATCAATGAAAATATTGGTGTTTCCAATCAGACTTCACATACATTCATTGATCAGTATGCTATGTATAAAGAAGATATCGGTCTTTGGCCATCAACGATCACCGATCAATTTAAAGAATATTTCTCTGAAAGTTCTCCAAATCAGAACATGGATCGCATTTCAAATTCTGGTCGACTTTATGGCAAGGTTTTAAGAAAAATGACCAATGACAACTTTTATTTCTACAAAAAAAATGAAAACAAAATAAATGAGAATGGTTAATTTACTCTCTCTCTAAAAAAAGTGTATTTTGTTATATTTGTATTCTTTATGACACAAGTCATACAGATATTCAACTTTGTAAAAGTGGATTAAATAATTGGCAAAATATTAGTAATAGACTACTTCTTCATGAAAAATCTTTCGGACATCGTCAAGCTGTATGCACTTTTTCAAATAGATCATCCATATTAAGACGTATAGATTCTGCTTTAATTGTACAACAAAAAAAAGAAACTGCCTACTGGCGTAGTATCTTAGAACGCGTAGTAAGCACTGTTAAGTTTTTGCCAGTGCGTGGCTTACCATTCTTTGGAAGTGATGAAAAATTAAATTCTCCTCATAATGGTAATTTCCTTGGTATTATGGAATTAATTAGTCAATATGATCCGTTTCTTTCTCAACATTTAAAGCAATATGGTAATCTTGGTAGTGGCCATGTAAATTACATATCATCTTTTACTGTACGTGAATTCATAGATATTATGGCAAATAAAGTTTTAATTAATATAATAGAAAATGTAAAACAAGCAAAATATTTCGGTCTTATTGTAGATTCTACACCAGACATTACACATACTGATCAGTTGTCAGTGGTATTAAGATATGTAAATGATATAGGCGAACCTATTGAACGTTTTATGACTTTTCATAGTATTGATGGTCACACTGCTGAGTATCTGTTATCTAGTATTGTTGATCTTTTTAAAAATTGGAAATTAAATATTAAAAAATGTGTTGGTCAATCATTTGATAATGCAACTAATATGGCAGGTAAATACACTGGTGTCCAAGCACGAATTAAAAATATTTCCCCAATGGCAGACTTTGTGCCTTGTGCAGCACATTCGCTTAATTTAGTTGGTGTGATTTCATTTAAATCTTGCACACAAGCTGTCAACTATTTTGGATTAGTTCAGGCTGTCTATGTATTTTTTTCTTCTTCTACCAAAAGATGGAAATTATTAACTGATAACCTTAAGAAAACAAAAAATACATATATTTTAAAACCACATTCTGAAACTCGATGGTCATCTAATGCAAATGCAGTAAAAGCTCTTCAGAATGGTTATAATATAATTTTATCAGTTTTGAATAATATTTATGAAAATGAAAATGAGAAGCCTCAATATAGAGTTGAAAGAAATAACTTATTAAAACAACTGAAAAAAAAAGAAACTGCTGTTTTCACTTGTATTTGGAACTCCATTCTTAGCAGGATTAATGAGAGTGGTATTCAATTACAATCAACGACTAGAAATTTCTCAAATATTATTCCTATTTATAACTCATTAATAATTTATATTCAAAGTGTAAGAGATAATTTCAATTTATATGAAGAAAAATCATCATGTTTTAGTGTTGCAACTGATTATACTTTATTGAGAAAAAAAACTCCTAAAAGTACATGTCTTAATGCTACAGACACGCCTGAAATTATTTTATCAGAAAGACAAAAATTTATCTGTGATGTGCATTATGTAATTTGTGATAATTTGATGACCGAGCTAAATAAAAGAAAATCCAAATATCAAGAACTGGATGACAAATTTGGTTTCTTATACAAATCAGAATCAAACTCAAGTGAAACCAAATTGAAAATTGAAAAATGTTTAAGCAGTTATTGTGATGAAATTGAAGTCGATGATTTTTTTGATGAATTCATTCAGTTTCAAGCTTATATTGAGTCCATTGATGATGTTTACCAATGTAAGCAGAATCCGCATTATCAACTTAAGTATTTGTATGAAATGAATATTCAGCAACAATTTCCGAACGTCGAAACTATTTTAAGGATATTTTTATCAATTCCATGTACCAACTGTAGTAGTGAAAGGTCTTTTTCTGTACTGAAGAAGATTAAAACAAGATTAAGATCAACACTAACTCAAGAAAGACTTGATAACTTAGGTTTACTATCAATAGAAAGTGATCTTACATCTTCTTTAAACTTTGATGACATAATAAATAACTTTGCTTTAAAAAAAGCAAGAAAAGTAATTTTATAAAACAGCTTATTTCTATTATAAGTATAAAAATATAGCTTCTTACAGTTAATATAAAAAAAAATGTTTAATTTTGTACATAATAGGTAGGTACAAGAAATCTATAGTCTGTAGAAATAAAAAATGTATAACATAACTATGTTTGTTAAAATATATAAATAAATTATAATTATATATTTGTTTTGTTCACTTATTTGTGGAGGGGGCTATCTATGCTACTGAAGGGGCCACAATTTTTATTTTGCTTAAGGCCACAAAAAGCCTAAATCAGGCCCTGTTCCCGGTATGTTCCATTTTTTAGAGTACTCTAAATACCTTGATTTGATTGAAGGCTATGAAGACTTGGGTCCATTGGGGAGGTCAAATAAATTAGCTGGCCAAGCAATGGTCTTTCTAAACCGTGGTTTATATGCTTCATGGAAGTTACCAATTTCGAATTTTTTCACTTCTACATCGGTAAAACACACGGATTTAAGTATCCTACTCATGGACGTCATTAAAAAGTTGTTAGACTATGGATTTATAGTTAAAGCCATTATTTGTGACCCGGGTAAAAATAATGTTGCTGCTCTTGTCAAAGACCTAGAAATGACGAAAGACAAACCGTTTGTTGAGGTAAAGGGTCGAAAGATTTTTTCTATTTTCGATGTACCTCATATTTTTAAAAATTTAAGAAACAACTTTAAATCGAATAATTTTATCTACAAAGGAAAAGAAACGTCACTTAAAGACCTTAGAGACGTGTATGAAATAGATAAAAATAGTGGAACAAGTAGATACCTTTTAAAATTACGGATAGCCATATGAACCCCGGCCCGTTTCAGTTAATGTCTTGTAAATTGGCAATGCAGCTCTTTAGCAATTCGATGGCCGCTGCAATGGAGACTTGCATTATGACCAAACAACTGAAATCTAATACTGCTGTAAATACTCTTGATATGGTTAAAGAGTCAGGGCCGGCCCTAGGGTAGGTCAACTGGGACATTTGTCCTGGGCCCCGCCCGAATTTTAGAGCTTACGTCATGAAAACTAGATGGTAATTGGTAGCTAATATGTTATATGTAGTTATGTTGAAAAAAAATAATTCATAGAGTTTAAGTTATAATATGTTTTGGAGAGAAATAGTATTTATTGAATTTTGTACAAATGCATATTGCATAATAATAATATTTATAAATAGCGTTATGGACGTATCACTTATGGTATTAATAATAGTTCTAATAATACCAGCTATTCGACGATCGATATTAAAAGTATCTTATCGCATCAGAGCGCTGAATAATACGCACTTAATCAATTAGTGGATTATTTCGTTTCATTTTTATTCGTTGTACATATATTTTGAAGACAATACGACCCGGTGTGGGTGATATTATAATTTCACTTTTAAATTGTATTCAGAGTTCATACATCAAAGGACAAACACGAAGGAAAAGAAGCTTACGATTTGTATATTTTATATAAAGGTATGAATAACATTTTTAATAATAGATAGTTGTTAAGTATTCGATTTTTAAGTGTTATTAGTCAACTTTCGTTCAATAAATTGATTTTATTCTTTCTAAAATTCGGATCAAATCGCATACGTAGAAATGTAGAATGTACTATTGCACCGCGGCTGTATAAATTGTTTGTTATTGTTTGTAATTTTATTTAGGTACCTCCACATCCGTTCGTCGATAATATTGAATTATTTATAATGTAGCCGTATATAATCTATATCATAAATTATAATATATTAAAGCAAACAATTATTATTATTATTATTTTTTATTGAAGAAGAAGACCTCGATGACGGGATCATTAGCCTGTTTTACATAGGTACTAAACTTAAACTAAATTATAAACAATTATTATTATTTTCTGATTGAACATTGTTATGGACATGGTTACCGTTCAAACTTTAATATATATAGTTGGAAAATAGTAGAACATAGGTATATAGAATAACGTGTAAACGTATTATAGAAGTAGTATTCTTAGTAGTATCATTGATTTTATAATATACAGATAAGCCAATCTATTGTTTATTGTGGCAGCGGCTAATTGCATTCAGCCGTTAGACGTCGCTGTGTTCGACTGCATTCAAGAGGGGTAAACATAGGATGGGTGCTGTTTTGCTATACGCGTACTACGATAGGCGATAACGTACTGCGATTCTATTTTTAGTATTTGTTTTGATCGATGATATATTTTTCTCTGACGACAAACACAACAGTGTTTTGGATAATTGAATCAATTGAGTGCTAGTCGCGTTACGTGATAAATAATAATGTACCAAATTTGTAAAATATAATATTATCATTGATTTTATGGAATATAAAAAATATTCATTTTACTGTACTTCATTTAATAAAACTGTTTCCACATCCACAGTTACATACACGGCAACTTCGGTATATTTATCTTAAAATATTTAATTAATTTTATAATTTATAATGTCTGGTAATATCTGTCAATATGTAAATTGCAACAAATCAAAAAAAAACTTTCCATCATTGAAAATGTTTCGATTTCCGAGAGATGAAACTAGATTAGACGCGTGGACCATTAATGCAGGTCAGAACATTTTTAATTTATGTTAGTTATTATAGGTAGATAGTTATAAGTACTGAAATTTGTTTAATTTTTTGTTGACATTTATGATATTTATAGTATTAGGACACGGATCCTAATGAATTTGCATTTACAATTGTATTAGTATTTTAAATCGACGTAATAGACGTATTAATTTATTGTTTTAGGGAATTTAAAATTATTATCTCTTGATAAATCAAAACTGTACACTAAATATTTATGCCAAGAACATTTTTCACCTGACTGTTTTATGAGTAAAGAAATGTCGAAGTTGAAGCACACTGCTATTCCTTATAAATTTAACGATACAGATCAACCATCAACATCTAGTGGTAATGTTACTTTAAAATTATCATAATTGCTTATAAACAGGGCTCGGAAGTTGTAATATTCGCATGGTTTTTTTTTTTTGGGGGGGGGGGGGCTAGAAGACTTATTGTGATTTTTCAAATCCTTTTCAGTTGACATACATTGTTCCGTTTTTAAACTTGCATATATTTTAGTACTTTATAAAAGCATCATGTTTCGAGCCCTGTCTATGTAAATCGTTATGAATTTACGGTTCTGAGCAAAGACGAGATAGATATTTCTAAAATATCCTAAACCGACAAACCGTCTCCGCTCAGAATATTGTTACTAAACTCTTGGACTATATTATTACGGCCATTACAATTATTTATTTAAAATTTTATTAATTTTAGGAATTTCTGAAAATGAAAAATTGTTGCCACTAAGTCCTAATTATAATGTATTAAATCCTAAAAAATGTTATGAGCACCATGCGACGTCTGATGTAAAGGAATTAATATTTTCAAGTCCTATTATGACCACACCCAAAAGACGAATACAAGATATAATAGATATGCCCAGTCCTAATTTAAAAATAAATTCTTGTGATGACGATACACCTAAGAAAAAAAAATTAAAAGCACAATTGCAAAGTCAATCGAACAAAATGAAAAATAAAAGATCGCGTATAAGTAAATTAAAAAAAAGTTTACAAATGTTTAAGGTCCGTAATGACGTTAGTAAGGTTATTGATACGTTTCCTTTCCCTTCAATTAACTCAAAAGCACTGGTAACAATGCAAATAAGGAAAAACCGCCGACCATGGTCACCTCAGGAAAAACAATTATCTTTATCCTTATTTTACAAATCTCCAGCTGCGTATAATTTTTTGAAATTGCAAAACGTCAACTTACCAGGCACGTCAACCATTCGCAGATGGATTGGTGAATCTAAATTTTTACCTGGTTTCAGTAGCGTATTTTTAAATCATCTAAAAAAAAAATTTGAGTATAAGACCGATAAAGAAAAAAAATGTACAGTTTGCTTTGATGAAATTTCTATAAAAGAGTGCCTAGAGTTTTCCAAACATTACGATTTTATTGAAGGGTTTGAAGATTTTGGACATCTTGGCAGATCAAGTAATGTAGCAAATACATCATTAGTGTTCATGGCTAGGGGTATATTTTCACCTTGGAAAATACCAATAGCATACTATTTAGTTCGCTCAGCTGTCAAACATGGCATGCTTAAGGACTTAATTGTATATGTACTTCGGACATTATTAGAAGCTGGTTTACATCCTAAAATTATAGTTTGTGACCAAGGCACTAATAATCAAAGTGCACTTAAGGCATTAAACGTTACCGAGCATAATCCATATTTTTTTATAAACGATAAAAAAATATATGCTATATTTGATGTTCCGCATCTTTTAAAAAGTATAAGGAATAATTTAATTGGGTCCATATTTAAAAGAGGAAAAAAAAACATTTGTTACTCAGATATTAAGGAAACATACTACATTGACAAAAATAACAAAAAAAGCAGAGCATTATTAAAAATAACCGATACGCACATAAATCCAAATTCATTTCAAAAAATGAGGGTAAAATTTGCTGTTCAAGTACTAAGCCACACTATGGCTTCAACAATTCGTACTTGTGTCTCTACAAACGAATTAACTAGTGAAACAGCTTCAGATACAGCAGACTTTGTAGATTTTATGAACAGGCTTTTTGATTGTTTGAATAGCAGATCTTTATATAGTAAAAATATTTATAACTGTGCTTTGTCCGATACAAATTGTGTAAAACAATTTTTGATAAATGCGTCCTCGTATTTTGTTGACATGTACAAGTTGTCTAAAAAAGAAAAAATCACTCGACCTCCGTGTTTTAATGGGTTTACTCAAACCATAAATGGTGTGCTACAGTTTTTTGAAGATGAAAAAAAACATAACATTAGCTTCTTATTCACAAATCGCTTGAATCAAGATGTACTTGAAAATTTGTTTTCAATTTTTCGACAGAAGGGGGGTTACAATAGAAATCCTACGTCAAGAGTTATAAGAACATCGTTTAGAAGCACAGCGATTTATTCGTTGGTTTGTACTTCAAAGGGTACAAATTGTGAACAGAATTTAGACACAGAAGTAGATTATACAATACACATAAATAACCAACAATCTAGCATTACATGTTCAGATAACAACATAGACTTAAGTGACACAGAATCTTTATCGTCGTCGTCATCTAATGATTCACATAATAATTTAAATAAAGATAAAGAAAATGTAGAAGTAACACTGGAGGACTGCACTGTTGTTTATTTTGCTGGGTATTTAGCACATATTTGCTTAAACAATTTTAATTGTAATAGTTGTAAATTACAGTTAATAACTGACACCGATATTAATAATAAAGATCAATTATTTATAATTAATAAAAATTTTGAAAATATTAAAACAAATGGTCTTAAATCTCCATCAAAAAAACTTGTGGAACTTGTTATTTGTGCGATTGATATATTTGAAGATAAATTTGGCAAAGTTCAACATAAAAAAAATATTAAAAAAATATTTATGACATGGTTTAAACGTCGTAACTTAATAAAACATTGGCTCCATGAAAATAAAGAATGCGCAGACCACAAACTCTTCATTTTAGACAAATTATTGACTTGTAAAATATTTAAGAAATGCAAAGATCATTCAATAACAACAAGACAGTCGAAATTAACTAAGTTAAAAATTTTATCTCATGTATAGTATTATTAATGAAATAAATTATTTAATATTATTATATTAATATCTATATATGATTATTTTTATACTTGTCGTATTGGTTTGGTTTAAAACATTTCATAGTATATTTTATAGTACAGTAATAATTTAATAATTAATATTATAGTAATTGGTGATTTAAATAATATATTTATTATTTATTATTTCATTTCAATATTATATCAAACGGAAAAAGCCTATCCAAACCGGTTTTATAATAATCTAATCTAAGAAAGCCAACACCGTCGGCCGCCGCGCGTCGTGAATAATAATATTATTTTATCGACTATAAATAACGCTATGCGATCTATCGGATTTTTGCTT